TTTTCTTTATGTTCAACAGTAAGCCTGCCTTTGTGCTTTCTTCTTTGAACTTCCTTACTAGCTGCTCCAGGTCTGTGAGGTTTTCTGCTAGTAATATGGTGTCATCTGCATATCTCAGATTGTTAACATTTCTTCCTCCTATTTTCTCTCCTCTCTCTTTCATGTCCAAGTCTACTTTCCTTACAGTAATTTCTGCATATAAATTGAATTGGTAGGGTGATAGGATGCAGCCTTCTCTGACTCCTTTGCCAATTGGGAACCATTTTGTTTCTCCATGTTCTGTTGTGACAGTAGCCTATTGTAGCCTCCTGAGTACAGATTCCTCATTAGGACTGTCAGATGTATTGTCACTCCCATGTCTTTAAAGGTGTTCCATAGCCTTTCATGGTCTGTGCAGTCAAAGGCTTTGCTGTAGTCTATAAAGCACATGCTGATTTTCTTTTGGAACTCCCTGCTACGCTCCATTAGCATATAGTCATATAGCAAAATACAATAACATCCCAAATCCCCAAACAGTGATGCCTTTATTCGACTAATCAAAATACAAAAAATACATGATGCAAGCTTTTGAAGCTCCACTGGGCATCTAAGGTGTTAAAAAGACCAATACACAATGAAAAATTATAAAATGATGATGTTAGTAAAATGATGATATTTGGTAAAACAGCCAACACCACCTAAAATTTTCCTAATGCAAAAGCGTGGAGGCTGCTCTGGAGAGATTCAGTATCTTCCACCTGACCTCACAAAGGATGGAGATATCTTGGATCACAGAAGAAGTACCTTTTGTATTGCAAATGGGATTCAAATTTTTATCTCCTGGACTTGGGAATTCTTTGTTCTCAGTGCCGCTTAGCCAGAAGCAGGAGAGACTGCTTGCATAGGTATCCCTCCAAAGAACAACACAACACCAATACTTTGAGAAAATGCAGGCCTGTGACAAGCATCATCATTTTATTTTAAAAAAATCTCATATGTTTTTTAACACCTTTGCCTGATAAAGAAGTCAGTGGAGTCTCAGTTTTGTGCAACAGTTTTGGGATGTTTATTTGGTTTGGTTTGGTTTGGTTTTGCAATTAAGCAGCACAGGGCAGAGCTAGCATGGTGGTTTGAGCATTGGACTTCGACTCTGGAGACCAGGGTTTGATTCCCAGCTTGCCCATGAAACCTCCTGGTTGACCTTGGGCAAGTCACATGCTCTCAGCCTCTAGGGAAGGCAGTGGGAAAACAAAACATGAACAAAACTTGCCAAGAAAAACCCATGATAATTTCGCCTTAGGGTTGCCATAAGTCAGAAATGACTTGACAGCACACAACAACAACAACAACAAAGCTATCCAAAATCCTGAACCTATTTTTGGGATAGGCTTCAGTACCTTGAATAGCTCCTTTAAAGTCTGGAGCAAAATCTGGTTTGGGTTTGCCACCCAGTCAATCATCTTTAATAATGTCTTTTCCTGTGTTTCTCCCTCCTGCCTTTTTTTTTTTCAGTCGGTCCATTGCGAGTGGAGTTTTCTCAACCTGTGAATTTGCAGAATGTGGAGAAAGAAAACCCAGAAGTCAAGAATGGAGGCCACTATACCCCAAAGGACTGCAAAGCACTTCAGAGAGTGGCAATTATTATCCCATTCAGAAATCGGGATGAACACTTGAAATACTGGCTGTATTATCTCCATCCAATTCTTCAAAGACAACAGCTTGATTATGGTATATATGTAATTAACCAGGTAAGAAACTGACTCTGAGTCTCCATCTGCTTGTGCGCATGCTGTCATTTTCTTTCTGATGTGTATTTGAGTAAATACCCAAGCAGTATTTACTCAATGGAGTAATCCTGAATGGAGGTGAAATGTGAGGGTTTTCTTAGTCGCTGCAAAGATCCTTGCTGTGCATGGTTTTTTAACAAATTCAGTAACATGTTGCTTAATTCTTTTTTAAAATACTATTTCTAAAATGGCCCTGACCCAGAGTCTTCATGAAAGTGGCTAACCATTTTTTTAAAAAATGAACAAATACAGTAAAAAAAATTACAATATCATCAAACAATCAGCCAAGGTCCACAAAACAGCTCAAAATGAAATCAAATAGACTCTTCCCCTCTGCCTAGCAACTCAAATGGTACTCTGAAGCAGTGATCACAATTCCTCAAGTCAGGAGTTTCTAACAAGGCAAGATATCTACAGACAGAGAATTCCAGGGATTATCCCATAGCAATATCCTCCCTGTAGATCTGTTTGCTATTGTCAGAATTTCCAAAAGCAGGGATGCTCCAGAAAACACATGAGTGGAAGCATTCCTTTCGTTAGTCAGTTAATTGTCTTGAGTTTATAAAAATGCTTAACGTATATACTCGACTATAAGTTGACCTCGTGTATAGGTCAAGGGCAGGTTTGGTGGCCAAAATTATGGATTTTGATTTGACCCATGAGTAAGTCAAGAGTAAAATTTAGAGGCATATAAGAAAGCATCTAAAGGATGAAGCAAAGGAAAATAATGCAAAGGACCTTACAAATTTCCAGCAGGCATCACTGTTTGTGCTCACCATAAAGGCTGGATGGTTGAGACATAGAGAGAGGTCAGTGCTTCAAGGACAAAGTACACTCTTGGGGAGGGTTCTTTTTTTTAATCATAGTTAAAGTATAGTACTTACATTGACTCATGGATAAGTTGACTCAGTTTTTTTGGGTCAATTTTTGACTAAAATTTCTAGACTTATACATGAGTATATACAGTAATCAGATATCATGACCATAACTCATGTCAATCTGTGTATCATATGGTGGTCAATTGGTAAGGGAATACAGTCGCCCCTCCATTCTCATGGACTTCAAGTTCACATATTCATAGAGGGAGTGACCTCCATTTAAATCAATGTGGTGCACCCCCGTGGACCCCATTCAAGCCTATGAGGTTTGAATACTTGCTAATCTCCATTTTCGAGGGGATGGTGGTCCAGAACGGATCCCCCGCGAAAACGGAGGGCCAGCTGTACATTTTTTCCCTTCTATTTTATCCTGAACCATCAGACATGGTAATTCTTCTTTAAATTTCAAAAGATGGAGAGCAGTGTGGCCCTGCCCTAGAAAGACAGTTGTACAGATATGTTCTGAAGGAAAGGAACATAATAATTTCTTGCAGACTGGGGCTGTTCACCTATTTAACTCTGTGTACCACATAGGACCTACAGATTTAAATTCTGTGTATTACTTTTGATTAATAAAGCTCCATGGCTATAGAACCACCAGAGAAGGTTTAATTCCAGTAGCAAAATTATAACGTGGTTGAGTACTAGCAAATAATGCTAATGGTTGACAAGGGCTCCCTTGTGTATGATATCTACAGCATTTATTCTGTATCATGACTTTGGTTCCCAGAATATATTTCCTTAAACTCTTATTTTTATTTTTCTGATAAAATGGCTTCCTGGTTAGGTGATAGGAGATGACATATCTTGTAAGGCACCATTCATGATGGCTTAGGAAAATGGTGGTGGCAGAAGTGCAGGTGGATGGGTAGGCTTACATAAAGCCAGTGGTCTGGGGACAACGAGAAAGAAACTCATGGCCTCCCCAAGCAACAAGATGCCCAGATTAAACAGTGAATCCAGACCAGCTTTTATATCCGATGGCTGCACCTCAGGTGTCACGGACTGGCCCAGGCCAAAATAATTTGAGATGGTTGTTGAAGCTTTCCAGTTGTACTTACCTTCTCTAACCAATGGTTTTGGCTGTGCAAAGAACCAGTACCTGCTCTGCAAATCTCCTGGCTTAAGTCCTGTGGTGCCTGATATTTGGCTTGTTATTATCATAGACTCTTGCAGTGAGTAATGGATTATTACTATTGTAACGGGGTACTGACATTTATAATAAGAGCATTAAGGATAGAGTTGGTCACAACAATCTTTCTGGCAGAGGCACCATGTGCATAGTTATTTATTCATGCCTTCCAGTGTCTTGTGGGATAGTAGGAAGCAGAATGAACTGTGTACTTTCTTAACCTTCACAAACGATCAGGATCTTGTGCTCATCTGCCAGTTTTGTAGGCTGCATAACATAACTGTATTAACCATAATAATACCTATTTCTAATGGTGGAACATTTAGTTCTTAATTCTGTGCATAAGTGTTCTATCTAATTGGAGTATCTTGTTTAGGATATTTGTTGTTGTTAACTGCCCTCGAGTCGATCTTGGCTCATGTCGACCCTATGGATGAGACATCTCCAAGACTCTGTCCTCCACTGCTCTGCAACCCCTTAATACCCGTGACCTCCTTAAAAGAGTCCATCCATCTGACATGTGGCCTTCCTCTCTTTCTACTTCCCTCCACCTTTCTCAGCATTAATATCTTTTCTAATGAGTCCTTCCTTCTCATGATGTGTCCAAAGTACGACAGTCAGTTTGGTCATCTTGGTTTCCAGGGAGGTTTCTGGTTTGATCTGCTCTAGGACCCATTTTTTTGTCCTTTTGGCTGTCCATGGGATCCTCAACACTCTTCTCCAGCACCACATTATCTCAAATGAATTGATTTTCTTCATTCCATATGTCCTTCATTTTGTCATCTCTTTTGTATATCAGGCAAATATTCCCGGTATTATATTGTTGAGCTGGAATGTGTTTTAACACCTTAATCAGCATGCTTCATTCTTAAGTTCAAAAAGATCCTGTATATTTTTCTCAGGTCTTTTTCACACCAGGCATTTATGGTGGAATAGAGATTGGGAAGGGACTTTTTACATGGCATTATTTCTATTCTGTTTTCCTCTTGATGTAATTCGTTGGTTTTTGCAAAAGAAAAAAAAACATTTGTCACTTTTAGTTATGATGCCATTCTGTTTCTTTCTCTTGGTGCAATAGATTGCTTTTGCATACATCACAGTTTAGAGGTCAGAATATGGATGAGAAGCAGGGAAATTTACAGCGGAGATACCAGGGAAGTACTGAGTAGGCATCCCACATGGCTTCTACTGTCAGAAAGCTAAACTGAGAATTATCACTATAATCATGGGACTGAAACTGGTGGGAAAGGTACCATTAGAATCCCAGTAGTGTACTGCTAGAGAAATTGGCTTTATTCTAGCATTATAAGGGCCTGGTTTGAAGCAGCCCTTAACTGGCACTCAAATCAATGCATGGAAATCCCCCTTGCAAGTGCAGGATAGCCCATGTAGTATTGTTTGCAGCATCCCGCTTTGCTTTTTGCTTAATTAGTCAAGGCTTAGGGATAAGACCTGTTTTCTTGAGAATAAATATATATTTTGGGATTGCTTTGAGCTTGTTGATTCCAGCACCAGCTGTGTCAGGGAATCCCAGGAGTGCTCTTTTTTCATCTTTTTCAGCATGATGTCACTGCCCTATTTTTTGGCAGGACAGTCTCATTGGCTCAGGGCTATATAGGCTTCTCAACTTATGGACAATGAGTAGTGGACACATCTAATCTAGTGACTTATTTTGTTCAAGGTCTGCTTTGACCCATAAAGTGTGAGAATCGTTGGATGATAGGTTTCTACGTCCTGCCTGTAATGTTGCTCTTTTCTGTCTTGAGAAGCCATTCAAAATATCTCTAAGCAGGCTTTGCTAATACTTCATACTAATCTTATCCTAACAAGGAGTCCATGAGATTAGTTGGGTCTGTTGAGTTAGATTTCTGTTTTGTTCGTTTTATGTCTTCTTCTTTCCTCCAGAAATATAGGATGGGTTATATGGCAACTGAATTTGTGTTCTTTTGTTCCTGAAAAACTAGTTTCTGGTTCGTTTTCTCTGCATGGATTCATTCATATCCATGTAACATCCTTATCAAAATAATGCCACCCAAATCCAAAACATGGTTGATTTGGAAATAAGTTCCAGTGACTACATGCAAACTTTAGTGTATTCTGGAGCCTGAAATGGAAAATACTTCTATATAATTTGTGTAGTGGTTTGAGTATTCGACTCTGAAGATCAGGGTTCAAATCCCCACTCGGTCAAGGAAACTCACTGATAACCTTGGGCAAGTCACAATCTCTCAGCCTCAGAGGATGGCAGTGGCAAAAGCACTCTAAAGAAGCTTGCCAAGAAAATCCCATGATAGATAGGGTCACCGTAAGTCAGAAATGACTTGAAGGCACATAACTTGGAGCAGAAAAAGGGAAGATGATGATATATGTAAGCATACAAAGGCTA